GTGAGACCCAGTTGCCCGCATTGGCCCTACGAGGATTTACATTTCTAGCGGCCCAGGCTGCGTGAGCTTCCTCCTCCTTCTCTTTCTGCCGAATCCTTGTATATCCTTCTCCTCCCTCCTGCCTGCTCCTTTCCCTTTCTCCTCCACCTCCTTATCCCCCCTCGCCTCCTCATACAAAATATAGTATTCCTCCTTGCATGGACGTTCTATCGTCGACGTTGCGCAATGCGTGGCGGGAGTCGGACGCGGCGCACGTCGCGGCGAAATGTCGATATCGCCTCACCGCCGTGCATTTGTCAATGAAATGTGCGCCCCCGCTTGGGCGCGGCGAGCACCGATTGTAGTGCGTCATTGGTGTACGCTTCCATCACTCCCCCGCAGTGTCCCCCGTCTTACCCGCCCTTACACATTGTATTGGTTTCTTTCATTCCTTCTTCCCACCAAAACTTTGTCGCCACGTTCCCCCATCCCACACCTTCTTCGGATCTCTCCCCATCCTGCCCCCTGATCAACCGACCTCGTGTCCACGCCACCTGATAGTGTACATGGGGTTCCGCTGCTCATGTGCGCATGGAGCTCATGGAGCCCACGGGGCCCGTAGGAGTGAGCAGGGCTCATTGGCTTCCTGCGGCGAACAGGGCCCGTAACGAGTATAGTGCCCACGAGGCTCGTGGGGCGATTGGGGTTCATAAGGACCCAACGGCGCGTCTTTTTCGTAGGTCTCACAAGGCTCACTCGGCCGATCGGCCTCATAGGGCTCGTTGGGCCCATCGGCCCCATATGGGTACGTGCGAGCGCGGCGTGAGCGTCGTGAGGAGCAAGGCCTCATAGGGCTCATTGGGCCAGTCGGCCTTGCATGGCTCACTCGACAGAGAGGCCTCGCAGGATTCTGATGGCCCACTGGCTTCCCAGGGCGTGTTGCCCATGCCGCATGGGCTTCATGATGGGACCAGGCTTCACGTGGCTCAAAGGGCCCATAGGGCTCATCAGGCCTGTCGGCCTCATCGGGCTCATGGCAAGGGCTCCCTCGAGGGCGCGAAGTTATTCGCGCTTCGCGCTTCGCGGTCCTCGCTCCTTCTCCCCCTCCTCCTCGTCCTCCTTTTCTCCCTTTGGGGGGGCGGCGCGAGAGCGCGAAGTTATTCGCGCTTCGCGCTTCGCGCAGCGCGAAGCGCGAAGTTGGGAGCCCTAGCATGGGGCCTGTCGGCCTACTGGGCTCATAGGGACCATCGGCTTCATAGGCTCACGAGGCCCCTCGGCCGCATTGCGCCCGTCAGGGCTGATACGCGCACTAGCAAGGGCTCCCACGAGGGCGCGAAGTTATGCGCGCTTCGCGCTTCGCGGTCCTCGTTCCTCCTCCCCCTCCTCCTCGTCCTCCTCTTCTCCCTTTGGGGGGGCGGCGCGAGAGCGCGAAGTTATTCGCACTTCGCGCTTCGCGCAGCGCGAAGCGCGAAGTTGGGAGCCCTTGCATAGGCTCACGAGGCCCATCGGCCGCATTGCGCCCGTCAGGGCTGATACGCGCACCAGGGAGTGCAGGGCTCACAGGGCTGCCCATCGGGCTCCTGGGGCTCACGGAGCTCCTGCGCACGATCGACTTCGTGGGATAGACAGGGCCCGTCGGCCTCTCACGCGGGCTTCAAGCAGCCCCAGGCTCATCCAGAGCGCAGCCTGAAATGCTCGCAGGGCTTGTCGGCTTCGTAGGGCTACCGGCCTCGCGGGGCTCACAGGGCTGATCGGCCTCATTGGGAAGAGAAGGAGGAGGAGGAGGAGGAGGAGGAGGAGGAGGAGGAGGAGCAGGAGCAGGAGCAGGAGCAGGAGCAGGAGCAGGAGCAGGAGCAGGAGCAGGAGCAGGAGCAGGAGGAGGACAAGGATGGACTTGACCTCTTCCCGAAGTTCTCCTATGGCCGAGGGGCAGACATGCGATCGACCGCTTTCTGATCCCCGTGCGTGTCTGCAATTCCTCCTACCTCGACCTCCTACGCTGTGATTTGTTCAATGCCAGCGTTTGTTTCACGGAGGGCTCTCCAGGGAACGCATTGTTTTTTGCTCGCGCTGTACCGCGCCCAGTAGAGGGCGCACTGCAACCTTCCTCGCGCCCTCCACGATGCCCTTTACTCGAAATTTATTCACCACCAAGACTGTGAAATCTACATCGCGCCACGAGCGAGCGCGCGGCCTTGACGAGGAGGGCGCAAAACAAGTTTTATGTTCAAGCGTCTGACTGCTTTTGTTTCCTCCGTATAGGAGGCCACGAAGCACTTTACGGCCACGAGGCGCCGTACTGCGGGGCGGGGCGCATGTGATCACAGCATCAGGGGTCTTCGGTGGAGCTCCTTCTGAGGCCACGAACCGCCGTGCTGGGTTGCGCGGGTCGCATTTGAACACAGCCACTCGGCCCTTTGGTGGAGCTCTTTGTGAGGCCACGAAGCGCCGTACTGGGTGGCGGCGCGGGACGCATGTGAACACAGCCACTTGGGCCTTCGGTGTAGCTCCCTTTGAGACCACGAAGCGCCGTACTGGATGGCGCGCGACGCATGTGATCACAGCCACTGGGGCTTTCGGTGAATCTCCCTGTGGGGCCACGAAGCGCCGTACCGCATGGCGCGACCGCATGTGATCACTGCCACTGGTGCCTTCGGTGGAGCTCCCGCTGGGGCCACGAAGCGCCGCACTGGATGGCGCGGTGCAGGGGCACGGATAGGAGGAGGAAGAAGGGGGAAGGGGAATTTGGAGAGGAGGGGAGAGGAGAAGAGAAGAGAGGAGAGGAGAGGAGACGCGGGGCGCTGTCTCTTTAAAACGGGGACCCAACACCGTAGGAATGGGAAAAAACGAGGACGATGTTAGTTGTTCTGTGGAAGCGCGGTGAAGACAATTGGTGTTCGCCAGTGGGGTCAGCGAGTAGGATATCGCACATGGTCGCCGTGACGTGGTCTGCAGAGGGGGAGGCGGGAAAGGAGAAAGGGGATGACATAATGGAGGAGGAGGAGGAGGAGGAGGAGGAGGACAATCAGGGGGCGGTGAAGAGCGAGGCTGAGTAGAAGTATAATGGTGAGGATGAGGACGAGGATGGTCATGATCATGATGATGAGGAGGAGATGGCGGGGGATGCTGATGATGATGATGATGATGATGATGATGATGATGATGATGATGATGATGATGATGATGATGATGATGAGGGTTAGGTTGGATATGAGGAGGAGGAGGAGGAGGAGGAGGCGGAGGAGGCAGAGGAAGTCGGATGGATAGCACACTGCGGATGCCTTCAGTTGCGACGACGACGATGACGACGAGGATGATGACTGAGAGGAGAGCGGAGGATCAAGGGGAAGAGTGAGCAACATGGCAGGTGCAAGCCGAGAGGAATGTCTAATTTGGCCAGCGTCCGCAACATGTTCTCCTCAAGCCGTGACTCTCTTCATAGCGTCTCGATGCAGCGACGCTGCACCACCTCCCTTGTTCAACGAAGCAGCTCAGGACCAACCAACCTGTAGCGATGAGGCCGATACTGGCTCTCGCCTTGGCCCTCGACTCCTGTGCGCCGAGCCGCGCCGCCCTCCTCCGTTCCGGCGCTGCAGACGGGGCGAGGCGCGCCATGACCGGCACCAGCCTGCGCTCGAGACTGGGGTACATGGTGCAGGCGATGCTGCGGAGCAAGGACGCCCGCTGCTGCTCCCCCCTCCTCCCTCCTCGGCCCCGTCCCTCCTCCCCGACCCCTCCTTCCTCGCCGTCCGCCCCGAGCCGCCTGGCGAGGGCATCACCACTCGGCACATCGCGAAGAGGGTGCACGGCAGGATGAAGCTGAAGGACGCGCTGCCGCTGCTGGAGGACCAGCTGCCCAAGGAGGTGACGTCCCTGCTGCACCTCTCGAGTCGGGAGCAAGCGGCCGGGGCGTACAGCGAGGCCTCCCTCTGCTGCCCCTCTCTTGGCTGGCCCGGAATCCAGGGACATGAGGGAGGAGGAGGAGGAGGAGGAGGAGGAGGCAGGAGGAGGAGGAGGAGAGGAGGAGGAGGGAGGAGGGTAGGAGGAGGAGGCAGGAGGAGGGGGAGGGGGGGAGAGGACGGATGGAGGAGGAGGAGGAGGTGGAGGAGGAGGAGGAGGAGGAGGAGGAGGAGGAGGTGGAGGAGGAGGAGGAGGAGGAGGAGGAGCAGGAGCAGGAGGACGGGGCGGGGGCGAGGGATCGGCAGCCCCTGCGCGCGCACGCGGCAACTGTGGGCTCGAGCGCGGAGCCTGACCGCCCAAGCACCGGCCCGCCCCCGCCCGACCGGCTGACTCGGGGCCCGCCCAAAGCAACCCCGCCGCGCGTCGGGGCCCTGCCGCTCGCTGGCCTGTCGGAGGGCGCCCGCAAGTGGGCGCCGTCGGAGACGAGGGCGGGAGTCCAGATTTTGGGGCGGCGTACACCCCAGACCCCCTCGGGTCATGAAAAAATCACGACGGGAGGTTTTTCGCTATCTTCGGCCTCTGGGGGCCCTTACCGGCCCTCGGGGCCGTCAAAAAACGACTCCGGACGAAAAACCGGTCCCAGGGAATTGGTCCAGACCGCTGGGGGTCGACGTCATGAAAAATTTATGACGTCGGGGATCTGGGAAGTGGGCGCCGTCGAAGACGAGGGCGGGAGTCCAGATTTTGGGGCGTACACGTTGGATGATAAGTACGCCAACGCACCAGAGCGAACCAGTGTGAAGGATAGGGGTGGTGCGTTTCTTCCCGAAGCAGCTCGCCTGGAAGGATGCACATTGCCCCGGCCACCGGGGTTCCCAGTTCGAGCCGGCGCCGAAGACGCCATTTGAGGACGCTATTCCCTGTGACGGCGCGTCCCTGTGAAGACGCTTTTCCAAGACGCTATTCCCGGTGAAGACGGTGAAGACGCTATTCCCAGTGAAGACGCTATTCCGGGTGAAGACGCTATATTCCCGGTGAAGACGCAATTCCCGGTGAAGACGCTATTCCGGATGAAAACGCTACTCCCGGTGAAGACGCTATTCTTTGTGAAGGCGCTGTGAAGACCCGTGAAGACGCTATTCCCGGTGAAGACGCTATTCCGGGTGAAGACGCTATTCCAGGTGAAGACGCTATTCCGGATGAAGACGCGATCCCGGTGAAGACGCTGTTCCCAGTGAAGACGCTATTCCAGGTGAAGACGTTATTCCGGGTGAAGACGCTATTCTTTGTGAAGACGCTATTTCGGGTGAAGACGCTATTCCCTGTGAAGACGCTATTCCGGGTGAAGACGCTATTCTCGGTGAAGACGCTATTCCCTGTGAAGACGCTATTCCGGGTGAAGACGCTACTCCGGGTGAAGACGGTATTCTTTGTGAAGACGCTATTCGGGATCCGGATGAAGACGCTGTTCCTGGTGAAGACGCTATTCCGGCTGAAGACGCTATTCCCGGTGAGGACGCTATTCTCGGTGAAGACGCTATTTCGGGTGAAGACGTTATTCGTTGTGAAGACGCTATTCCGGTTGAAGACGCTATTCTCGGTGAAGAAGCTATTTTTTGTGAAGACGCTATTCCGGGTGAAGACGCCATTCTGGGTGAAGACGGTATTCTCTGTGAAGACGCTATTCCCGGTGAAGGCGCTACTCCTTGTGAAGTTCAACGTGCTCCCCTCCCAATTGTATTTTGGAAGTGCCATTTTACTTTGCGCCTTCCGTGCCCAACACAGCGCGTGCCCCATCTGTTGTGCGACACCCTATGCTAGGCAAGACCCCATCCCCAAGTTGATTAAACAAGAACCCTTGTTGTTAGACGTGCCCCATCTGCTGCTTGGCACCCTGTGTTGCGGCAATGGCCCTCCCCAAGTTGATTTAAAAAGAATACTTGGTGTTAGGCTTGCCCCACCTGCTGTGCGGCACCTTCTGCTAGGCAAGACCCCTCCCCAAGTTGAGTAAACAAGAATCATTGGTGCTAAGCGTGCCCCATTCGCTGTGCGGTACCCTCTGCTAGGCAAGACCCCTCCCCCAAGTTGATAAAATAATTAATCCTTGGTGCTACGCGTGCCCCACCTGCTGTGCGGCACCTTCTGCTTGACAAGACCCTTCCCCAAGTTGATTAAACAAGAATCCTTGGTGCTAGGCGTGCCCCATCTGCTGTGCGCCACCCTCTGCTAGGCAACACCCCTCCCCAAGTTGATTGGACAAAGAATCCTTGGTGCTAGGCTTGCCCCATCTGTTGTGCGGCACCTTCTGCTAGGCAAGAACCCTCCCCAAGTTGATTCAGAACATAATCCTTGTTGCTAGATGTGCCCCTTTGCTGCGCGGCACCCTCTGCTAGCCAAGAGCCCTCCCAAAGTTGCTTCAGCAAGAACCCTTGGTGCTAGACGTGCCCCATCTGCTGTGTGGCACCCTCTGCTAGTCCAGACCCCTCCCCAGGTTGATTTAAAAAGAATCCTTGGTGCTAGACGTGCCCCATCTGCTGTGCGGCACCTTCTGCTAGGCAAGACCCCTCCCCAAGTTGATTAAAACAAAAGCCCTTGGTGCTAGACGTGCCCCCATCTGCTCTGTGTGGCACCCTTTGTGAGGCAATGCCCCTCCCCAAGTTGATTAAAAACGAATCCTTGGTGCTAGGCGTGCCCGACCTGCTGTGCGGCACCTTCTGCTAGGCAAGACCCCTTCACAAGTTGAGTAAACAAGAATCCTTGGTGCTAGGCGTGTCCCATTTGCTGTGCGACACCCTCTCCAAGGTGCGCCCCTTTGCTGTGCGGCACATTTTGCCGGGCAAGAGCCCTCCCCAAATTAATCTAAACAGAATCCCTGGTGCTAGACGTGCCCCATTTGTTGTGCGCACCCTCTGCTAAGCAAGACCCCTCGTCAAGTTGATTGAAAAGGGATCGTTGGTGCTGGACATGCCCCTTTGCTGTGCGGCACCCTCTGATAGGCAAGAGCCCTCCCCAAGCTGATTTAAGAGAGAGCCCTTGGTGCTAGGCGTGCCCCATCTGTTGTGCGGCAGCTTCTGCTAGGCAAGACCCCTCCCCAAGTTGATTCAAACAAATCCTTGATGCTAGATGTGCCCCTTTGCTGCGCGGCACCCTCTCCAAGGTGAGCCCCTTTGCTGTGCGGCACCTTCTGCTAGGCAAGACTCTTCCCCAAGTTAATTTAAACATAATCCCTGGTGCTAGACATGCCCTTCTGCTGTGCGGCACCCTATGCTAGGCAAGACCCCTCGCCAAGTTGATGAAAAAAGAGTCCTTGGTGCTAGACGTGCCCCCTTGCTGTGCGGCACCCTCTGATAGGCAGGAGCCCTCCCCAAGTTGATTAAAACATAATCATTGGTGCTAGGCGTGCCCCCTCTGCAGTGCGGCACCTTCTGCTAGAGAAGACCCCTCGCCAAGTTGATCAAAAAAGAATTCTTGGTGCTAGACGTGCCCCATCTGCTGTGTGGCACCCTCTGCTAGGCAATGGCCCTCCCCAGGTTGCTTAAAACGTAATCCGTGGTGCTAGGCGTACCCCACCTGCTGTGCTGCACCCTCTGCTAGGAAAGACCCATCCCCGAGTTGATTAAACAAGAATCCTTGGTGCTAGACGTGCCGCATCTGCTGTGTGGCACCCTCTGCTAGGCAATGGCCCTCCCCAAGTTGCTTAAAACGTAATCCGTAGTGCTAGGCGTGCCCCATCTGCTGTGCGGCACCCTATGCTAGGCAAGACCCCATCCCCAAGGTGATTAAACAAGAATCCTTGGTGCTAGACGTGCCCCCATCTGCTCTGTGGCACCCTTTGTTAGGCAATGGCCCTCTTCAAGTTGATAAAAACAGAACCCTTGGTGCTAGGCTTGCCCCATCTGTTGATTGGCATCTTTTGCTAGGCAAGACCCCAAGGGCGTCGTCACCCCCGCCGCCGCCAGCCGCCGCCGCCAGATGGGGTTGGGCTGCGGGTCCAAAGCCTCCTGGATGTTCGTTTGGGGGTCTCTTTGGAGGTTCCTCGTCGGGCTCTTGGATGCTGTTTTGAAGCCTCCTGGGGGGCCGTTTTGGGGCCTCTTAGGGCCTCGTTTGGTCTTCTTGGGGGCCTCATGGTGCCGTCTGGGTGTTTCTCGAGGCCTCCTGGGACCTTCTTGATGCGGAGCCCGCAGGATGGATCCGTTGGAAGCGTGTCACCGGTGCGGCGCGGTCCGGGTGGCTTCACAATCCTTTGTGTTTCACGTATCTGCCTATAGATTGGTCCTCTCCTGGGGCTTCCTGGGGCCTCCTGGGGCTTCCTGGGGCCTCCTGGAGCTTCCTGCGGCTTTCTGGAGCTCCTGGAGTCTCCTGGAGCCTCCTGGGGCCTCCTGGGGCTCTCTGGGGTTTCCTGGGGCCTCCCGGTGCCTTCTGGGGCTGTCTTGGCTCCTCCCGGTGCCTCCTGGAGCTGTCTTGGCCCTCTCTTGGGGCGCGAATCCTGTTGTGTTAAACGTATGTGCCAATAGATTGGCCTTCTCTCGGGGCACGAGTCCATTGTGTTTCACGTATGTGCCTATAGATTGGCTGACTCTTGGGGCACGAATGTTTCGTGTTTTTACGTGCGTGCTTAAATATTTGCCGTATCATGGGGCGCGAGTCCTTAGCGTGTTACTTGATTCCTAAAGATTTGCCTTCGTTTGGGGCGCGAATCCTTTGTGTTTTACACATGTGCGTATAGGTTGCCCCTCTCCTGGGGCACGAGTCCTTGGGGTTTCACGTGTATGCCTATAGATTGGCCTTTTCCTTCCAGGTGCACGAATCTTTCGTGTTCTACGTATTGGCTTAGAGATTTGCCCTCTCCTGGGGCACGAGCCCTTCGTGTTTTATGCATGCGCCTATGGATGTGCCCTCTCCTGGGGCACGAATCCTTTGGTTTTAACGTGTGTGCATATAGATTGGCCTTCCCCTGGGGCACGAGTCCTTTTGTGTTCAACGTATGTGCCAATAGATCGGCCTTCTCTTGGAAAACGAAT